ACACACAAACTTTATTTTATTTATTTATTTATTTTTATTTATTTTTAACATGTACCATATTACAGAAACCAAAATATGTTCTTGCGAATATTAATACATGTATACAAATACTGGCAAAAACAAGTACTAGGAAACAGCGCTATTAACTAGTTTCCTATACTAGCCACACGAGTAGTGCCACATGAGCAAGGGAGGCACTGTAGGGCGTAACATCACACCTGGAGGCCACTGTACCATTTTTGCAGAGACATTGCATCAACCATCTCAAGTGTATCGATAATTTTTTTTATTAAATTTTTTTAAATCTTATAAGTCGTGGTTCTACGTAACCCTTTCCTTTCAAATTGATTTCAAGCAACAAAGTTTTTTGACTGACTTGCTTGGATTTGTTGAGTATGTTTATAACTCAACTAATTTTAAAGTTACAGTCATATGTGGCAGTCAGGGATCCATCATTAGCTGTTGACTCCCATTTTAGCTCATTTGGCGTAGTGTCAGCCTGAGCTATTGTGTGACAGCCTGCTCGGTTTGTGCCTGCGTGTGTGTGTGTGTGTGTGTGTGTGTGTGTGTGTGTGTGTGTGACTATATTATTTGCATCACATAAATATTCGTGAGACCTACTACAAAGACTGTTGTAATGGCAGTTACAGAACCCGGTGATATTTGTTTGGATTCCATCTCCAGTATGGCTGCTATGGTAATGGTGAAATTTGTGAATCCTGAGGTAAAAAAAAAAATTCCACTAAAAGTTTATATTTCATGCTGTAGCTCAGAGAAATGTCGGTGGCTTTTAGGGTAACATAGTACAAAGGTTGTTGAGATTCACGTTTATTTTCTTAAACGTCTTGAGCAACTTAAACAAATAGGATTTATGGATGTTGCGTATGTGGGCATTCTGGCTCCTGATTAGCTAAGATTCTAAACACTCTGCGAGCCTCAAGAAGCTTTGGATTTTAATATTACTAATTTTTTTTTACTCTCGCTTTGGCTTACATAAGAACATGAATTTTTTTTTCCTCTCGTTAATTTGGTCGGAACTTGATGAAGCGTAATATGAATGGCTATGATGATCCTTAAGATGAGTTCAGTGATACAGCCGCTGCACCCACACGTGTATATTCAGGTTACTGTCTCCTCTCAAAGGTTTCGTGTACTTGCTATGGTTATACTTCAGCTGAGCGATACATACCTTTGGGGGAGTGGGAGGGGGACTTTGAAGACCTCTTATTCATCATTCTCTAAACCTTTGTGAAATATAACCTGTAAGTTAGGGCACAGAGCAGATACTGAGGAACAGGGTACTAGAGAATGGAACAATGGTTGAGGGGAGAGTGTTGGAGTTCGTGTGAGCCGTTCCAGTGTGTAATATTATCAGATAATCATTGTGGGAACTCCAGCGTGAAGACGACTCCACTTAATTGTTCGTCACGGGGGTAAAAGTTGAAATTCCGGTGTGAGGTCACTGGCGTTATGTTACCTTTGTGCCCGTATCATGGTTATGTAACGGTTGCGTTGTGTTGCTTAATTCTGGGTGTGGTGTGTGGTAGTGTGGTGTGTGGTAGCGTGGTGTGTGGTGTGTTATTGTGGTGTGTGGTAGTGTGGTGTGTTGTTGTGGTGTGTGGTAGTGTGGTGTGTTATTGTGGTGTGTGGTAGTGTGGTGTGTTGTTGTGGTGTGTGGTAGTGTGGTGTGTTGTTGTGGTGTGTGTGTAGTGTGGTGTGTTTGTGGTGTGTGTGTGTGTGGTGTGTTGTTGTGGTGTGTGGTAGTGTGGTGTGTTGTTGTGGGTGTGTGGTGGTGTGTGGTGTGTGGTGTGTGGTGTGTTGTTGTGGTGTGTGGTGTGGTAGTGTGGTGTGTTGTGGTGTGTGGTGTGGTGTGTTGTTGTGGTGTGTGGTAGTGTGGTGTGTTATTGTGGTGTGTAGTGTGGTGTGTTATTGTGGTGTGTGGTAGTGTGGTGTGTTATTGTGGTGTGTGTGTGTGGTGTGTGTGGTGTGGTGTGTTGTTGTGGTGTGTGGTAGCGTGGTGTGTTATTATGGTGTGTGGTAATGTGGTGTGTTGTTGTGGTGTGTGGTGTGTGGTGTGTGGTAGTGTGGTGTGTTGTTGTGTGTGTGGTGTGTGTGTAGTGTGGTGTATGGTAGTGTGGTGTGTGGTAATGTGGTGTGTTGTTGTGGTGTGTGGTAGCGTGGTGTGTTATTATGGTGTGTGGTAATGTTGTGTGTTATTGTGGTGTGTGGTGTGTGGTAATGTGGTGTGTTGTTATGGTGTGTGGTGTGTTATTGTGGCGTGTGTAGTAGTGTAGTTACGGATCTTTTGTGTGCGCCAGGGAATACGCGAGGGAGTCTTACACTCCTGTTGTAAATTTGGAAATATTTTACCTTCTACTTCAAAACACTTGTTGAGTCTATGGTTAACACGAGGCTTTAACTCTCCTCAGCATGTTTTTGGCAGTCGTGTGAAATTCAGTGGGTCTTGGAGGATCTTGGTACACGACAGATTTTTAGGTAGTGATTAAATTACTTTACGTGTGATCAGTTTGTAGCATCTGGCTCACTGTAGATGAATATGAAACTAACTTTTTCCTCTAGTGTTACAGTAATTCATCTTACATCTTCGTTGATTTGTTATGATTCTTGTAGTGTGCGACTTATGAGACACCCTGTACAGTAATTTGATTTTGAAGACAGTTATGAAAGTCACACATGTACTGTATGTGACATTGTTATGGTTAGCTTGTTTGGGTACATAAATTCCTAACCTGCCCTAAGACACTGTACCTTGATAACTGTTGCACTCATTAGCATTCTTATAACTGTTCAACCCTGGTTTATGAAAATTATTTCACATCAAAAGGAGAGATTTTTTTTTTTAACAAATTGCGAAAAGTTTTAAGGAATCTGGGCGCGTAACAATATTTCCAGTCTGCTTATTATGTAAGAGGATGTGTTGCTACTTCCAGTTCACGTCAAAAGAATGATAATTGCAGTAAAACAAATGACCACACATATTCGTTCGTACTCAAGGTATTTTTATTAGTTTAATAGAGTTATATAGAGATACCTACTGGAGGTATTCTATCTACACATCGAAGGGGGCGGACATTTAAGCGGTCACAGTATAGGTAAAAGTGAAAAGAGCCAAAAGAATAACAGTAAAAACGTAAGAGGAAGGTAATGATAATAAGAATCGTCATTGTTTTTTTGCGCTGGAGAATTATCGTCATGGCCATTTTCTATGTTAAGACCAACAGTGAACTGGAAAGAGCACTACCATTCACTGCTCAACCGAAACACTGAGGTGGCTGTCCTGACTACCCAGCAGGTCCCTCAGTATTCAGAGCTGACCCATCTCAGCTATCCTCTATCCCTGGATGAGGTAGCTACTGCCATGAAACAGATGAAAAATAACAAAGCCACAGGGCCTGATGGAATCCCAGCCGAGGTGTATAAAGCAGGAGGACCTCTGCTTACCAGCTGTCCTCCACTCTCTCCTGGAGAATATATGGGAAAAGGAGGAAATCCCTCAAGCTCTTAAAGACTATCGTCAATATTTATAAGAATTAGGGAGACCTGTCAGACTGTGGCAGCTACCGCGGGTTCTCGCTGCTGTCCGTAGCTGTCAAGATTATCGCCGAGTCCTCCTGAACAGACTTCTTCCTGAGGCAGAAAACTTCCTCCCAGAATCTCAGTGTGGCTTTAGACCATCACGTGGCACCAAGGACATGATGATCTTTGCTGCCCTTGGATGAGATGTGCATCTCTAGTCTTTGGCAAACTCCGTACCCGTGTCTTCAGCTATAGGGAGCTGAAATTATATCTACAAAGTTACACGTGTATAATATGGACACGAAGTAGTACCTTAAGCTGTGTATTTTCATATTACTCTATTAATTATGTATAGTAAAGTATTACAGAACATGTATTAATCCTATGTAATATTTCCATTTATTATGCACCATGTTATGTATGTGAATTATCATATTTACATATTATGTATACAGCTTGTGAATGCTGGCATCTGTACATGCCAGTGCAGAGTGATACAAAGAGTGGAGACCACCAGTCCTTATGGTGTGGAAGCGAGTTTCTTGGTCCATCTGTATATATCTCCCGTACGAGAATAAGAACCTATTTTCAAGATAACAAGTGTTTGTGTATGCCCTCAGTAGTGTAGAACATTTTGGGGGTATCAAAGACAAACATAGAACACAACTAAAAACCTGGAACGTCAATGTGGCATTTAAAAACTCATGCACTGTTAAACAAATATTAATCAAGAACTCCCCCAACAACACAATTGGTTGCATTTATAAAGTTCCTTGCAAGGAATGTAATATGTTTTACTTAGGCCAGACAGGTAAAGATTGCAACTAGAATTAAACAACACAAATACAGTGTTAGGACAGGCCAGGAATCCAATGCTCTGTTTGTTCATCTGAGGGATAACAAGCATTGCATTGACTGGGATAATGCCTCCTCATTACCATGTAATTCAATTGATAGTAGGAACATCATAGAATCTAGTCTTATTAAACATACCGAAGCATTCAACATGAATTTGAGTAACGGCATGTACAAGCTGGACAATTTTGTAATTAAGAAGATTTGTAACCAGGTGAGAAGGCCGGGTCACCTGACCATCTGACCTGACCACCAACCGTTGTGTGCTATTTAAAGATTAGTAGGGTCATTACCTAATACCTGACCATTGTGGACCTGGTCTCACCCTCCTCTGTATATATACACCTTGGTTTGTATTTCTCTTTAGTCTGTACTCACCCCTGAAGATGTGAATTACACGAAAGCGCTTGGGAACTTCGTGTTTTCTTCTTTCCTTGTGGTTATCAGCATATATATATATATATATATATATATATATATATATATATATATATATATATATATATATATATATATATATATATATATATATATATATATATATATTTATATATTTATATATTTATATATATAATTTTCATGTGGATTCGGATATAAAGAACTATACATTGGGTTATAGTAACATATATTTCAAGAAATCATTCCAAAATGTAACAGAATTTATACTTAAAAAACAACCAATATAATATCTATTTAGTTTTAAATAATTATATAAACAAAATGAGGCAGTTGTCAAAGTCGGATGTTGTTTAAGGCGAGCTGTACAGGCTGGATGGAGTGCTCACTGATATTCCACCACCGCCTCCAATGCTGATGCCTCCGCTGCTGAACCCTCCATCTTCAAAGCTGTCACCTCCAAAGCTGCTGCTGCCACCAAAGCTGCCGCTGCCTCCAAAGCTGCTGCTGCCTCCAAAGCTGCCGCCGCCTCCAAAGCTGCCGCCGAAACTTCCACCTGAAAAGCTACCGGAGCCACCGATGACTTGACCGCCACCAAGAGAGGCAGAGCTGAGAGCAGACTGCAGATCCTCGCCTGTGGGCAAGGTTGGGTTGTCACCATCAGCATAGTTCACAAAGTACACCTCAGGAGATTCTTGTTCTCCTGATGGTACGTGGATGACTCTCTGGTCTTGCTCAGGCCGTTTGTTGAGGACGTAGACGACGTTTCTCTGTTGTGGTGGTGGCACGACAATGGGTTCCTGTCCTTGGCCTCGCTCTGGGGAGTGGATGAATATAACATTGTGTTCAACTCTTGGTAGGGGAACGAATGGTCGTGGGCCCACGATAGGTGCTAGTGATGGCGCTCTGTACACGAACAAGTTTCGGGTGACTTGGGGCGTTACACAGCTGCCGTCCACATGCCGAACTTGTCCTCCTCCACAGCTGCCTCCAGAGTATCCAGAACCGCCCGATGAGAACCCTGAGTTAAATGAGGAGCCACCTGAAGAGAATCCTGAACTGAATGATGAGCCACCTGAAAATCCTGAACCGCCGGAGGAGTATGATGGGGTCGGTGGCGGGCCGTAACTCTGAGGGAGGGCGGAGGCGGCAGCCAGGTACACGGAGGCTAGAATCTGAGGATAAGTGTCTAGTTAGTAGACATACTTTACATTATTATGACAAGTTGTAATATTTCGATAAGTGATCATAATCTGAGTAATTCATGATTCATCTACATAAAGAGTTATTCATTCATCTCCAAATTTTACATTCATGTCACTCATCCCATCCACTTGTATATTTATCTTCGCATAGAACAGAAAATTATATTGATCATCTTCCAAAATAAATATATGTAATGATAAAACAGTATGTGTAATGGAAAAAAGTTCTACCATACTCATGATACCTTTCTTGTATAAGTCCAGAATATGATATAAAATGAAACTCTAAACTTATACAGATATTGTTCTCAGGTCTGAAAAATATCCATATGATACTTACACGTAGCAGTTAACACACACACACACACACACACACCCACACACGTATGTAATCTTTTTTAGAAACAAACACAGGTCTTGTGTGTCCAGCATCACATCACCCCTGAGACCTTTGGTGTGACCTTGATAAACCTTGGCAGTGACACTGAGGACTATGGAGAAAACTATCAATTAGCAAAGAGTTTATAAACTACCATATTATCTTTCGTTTAATTGTGATCCATAATATAGCAGTAGAAGAGGGAAAGAGTTAAATGACAACGGCAGCAAGCGAGGAGGAGAATTAGATATTACCAGAGACTCGCAATGACTACACGTACAGTGATGAAGAGTAAACATTCAGTTTTGTTTGGAAGAATATTAATTATTTTTCCATGAAGAACGTGCGATATACGTTTTTTTTACTCCCTTTAAATTTCATTCAAGTTAGATTTCTTGCAGGTAACCATTTGGAAATAGAAATATAAAAAGCTCCAAGCACACTTATTGTTATTCACATCTTCAGGGAATACAGTTGGAGGGAAGACGTAAATAGTCACGAAAGTGCGAGGAAATTTCTAAGTATCTGTTTCCTGGTGGTTGGTAGGCGAGGCAGTCTGAATCACTCAAAGTCACGGAACACAATAACGACACTAGTAGATTCCTTGTGAGTAACAGAATATATGCAATAACCACAGGCACCGAGCAGCTGTGGACACTGCGGAAGGCACAACTCACCAGCAACTTCATGGTGGAGTGTGATGTCGATCCAGGTCGCCCGCTGCCTTATATACTGCCTCTCACTCCTGCCGCACAAACCTCGTTTTCGCTGTCTTCCCATAGCACTTCCTCCATTCCCTTCTCCTGCGTGAATCCCAGCTGGCTCACGCGGGGTCAGCAGTGTCGTGTGACGTAACCTATAATCACCAGCGTGAGCTTCTGTGCACCGCCCAATCACTTTCCTATCTGTGGGAACCATTTCATTCTGACCTTTTTTGTTTTTCATATTCATATTTTTTTGTTTTGTTTTAAATCGATTTTATTCAGAATTTTAGAATGTGTGCTGTAAGGAAGTTATATACTGGGTGGTATAATGACTGTGTTGTGCAAGTTGGTGGCGATAGTTTTGTTCATATTTCTTAAGACGAAAGAGTATGTTTAGATTAACCACAGGCGCTCACCCTCAGACCTACCTACACTCACCAGTCTTGTTACTGATAAAATTCTGCTCACGAGTCTGTTATCATTATGAACGTAATGATTGAAGTTTTATAGCGCGTTAAAGTCCTGAATACTGTTCAATATGTTCAGGACACAAGTTGAATAAAACGAATGTTAGGTCATACCCCACTCTCCCTTCTCTTCAAGGTTCACACACACACACACACACACACACACACACACACACACACACACACACACACACACACACACAATGATATGTGTTTCATGGCAATATGACAAAACTAATTTATTTTTTTTGTGTGTATACAATTACCGGTAATCGTGACGTATTGAATCTTGATACGATACAGTAACAAGAGTCAACAAAGTGAAAGGAACAAATACAGTGAGAGATGATCACGTTTGAGAGAGTGTAATTGTTGTGTCTCCCTTCACTCCTCACGTGACCCCTAACAACCCTACACGCCCTCAACTCCTCGTGTGTCTGTCTCTTCCTTCACGATGTAGACGAACACATACTTAGACCTGCGGGTACATGATGGTACTTGATTTCATTTGAATGTTTAGAACGTCTGTGATTGATTCAGCATTCACGGAGTCTCTCTCTCTCTCTCACACCACACACACAGATAAGTGTAAATGCAGGAGTTTCAGAATAGTTTGTGATAGCAGGTAATTGAGGATGAATGACGAGCAAGTTCAGGTACTTGGTGGTTGACTTTCACTCTGAAATGATACACTTTCGTGACTCAGGACAGGCGGCAATACTTGGTCCACCAGGAGTTGAACTTTAGCGGTCTGTGTCAGGTCTTGATATATATATATATATATATATATATATATATATATATATATATATATATATATATATATATATATATATATATATATATATATATATATATATATATATATATATATATATATATATATATATATATATATATATATATATATATATATATATATATATATATATATATATATATATATATATATATATATATACCCTGTTTTGCACTTCTCTTTAGTCTGTACTCACCCCTGAAGATGTGAATTACATGAAAGCGCTTGGGAACTTCGTGTTTTCTTTTTCCTTGTGGTTATTAGCATATACCTGGATCACGCCCACCTATAGTGATTTACTTGCATATATATGTTTGTGTGTGTGTGTGTTTTGTAAATCTAGCTTTAATTTTCAGTCATCTCGTAATAACTGTAACCTGCTAAATATAAGGAATTTGTGAACATTATTTTCACTACCCGTACACGCTAATGTAAAGGGTCGCCAAGAATTCTCGCCGGTCTAGTTTTTGTTTCATAAATATATTTAGTTCGGCTACAATGGCGAGCGGGAGAGAATGTCCTGTGTGCTTATATACAGTATATTTATATTATTTTTCTGTATGTTTAAAGTATTCAGTAGACTTCTTATAAAGGCAAATGGGGGCGTGTTAGTTTGTCGCGGTTAACTACAGGCTGGTAATTAATGCAAACAAGAAGAGGGTTGAACATTTATCTCAGGACAAAATGATCAAGTGTTTTTAATTAACAGACATATTGCAAAGTTTCTGTTGAGTGTGTGACAGCTGCCAGGTCTGGTCAAGGTGACTTCTTTTTCCAAGGTTCATGGCACTTGGGGTTTGGCAGTGAGCCCAGGTCAAGCTTTCTGTTTTGTAACTCTAGTGCCTGGCCCCACTAACATACCTCTCTCCCTCCCTCACCTCTCACACATGCTGTTTTCCTCCCTCACTCACCTCCCTCACTCACCTCCCTCTCTCCCTCCCTCACCTCCCTTCCTTGATCCCTTTGTCTCTCCCTTATCTCCCTCCCTCACCTCCCACCTCACCTCCCACACATGCTGTTTTCCTCCCTCACTCACCTCCCTCACTCACCTCCCTCTCTCCCTTCCTCTCCTCCCTTCCTTGATCCCTTTCTCCCTCCTTTATCTCCATCACTCACCTCCCTCACTCACCTCCCTCTCTCCTCCCTCACCTCCCTTCCTTGATCCCTTTCTCCCTCCTCCCCTCACTCACCTCCCTCTCCTCCCGCGCCTTCCTCCTTCCTTGTTCCATTCTTCCTCCCTCCCTCCCTCCCTCCCTCCCTCCCTCACCTACTTCACTTCCTCCCTTCCATTTCTTCCTATCTCTTTCATCCTTTCCTCACCTCTCTCTAATGTTCTCTATCCTTCTTCCCATACCCTTCTTATTGCTATTCCCTTCCTTCAATTCACTAAACTTTTCCATCTTTCTTCCCTTTCTTCCTTTCATTACTTCTAAGTCTTGGCTTTCTCATATAACTAATTGATATTTTTCCTCAATTCATCACTTCCTTCCTTCCTTCCTTCCTTCCTTCCTTCCTTCCTTCCTTCCTTCCTTCAGCACCTCGGAAAATAGTGATTGAAGACGCTCGTGATAAACATAGATTGCAGCGAGTTTCTTCATCCGAGTGATCATGATACTTAGTGTAGTTTTGTAACCTTAAATCATGGATCATAACACTAAACAGGGTTACACGGTTTATAAAATGAAAGAGTCTCTCATACACTTAACTTGAGAAGAAAGACTCAGGAGGTGACAGTAAACAAAACGATTTACAGGAGTATGAGCTACTACTATCACACACACACACACACACACACACACACACACACACACACACACACACACACACACTCCTTATTCTACCAAGTCACACCTGTTGGACATGCCTTTCGATATACCCTCGGGATACATCTCACAGGAGCTCTCTCTACATCCACAATCACTTTAATAAATCTTCTCTAATTACTAATGTTTAAAACCCAACTTTCTCCTTAATGGACATACAACGTGGACCTTGTAATCGTGATAGAAAGTGTCTTGAAGCATCCACGGCATTCACGCTTTTCTTGTTTTTGCTGTTGTTGCTGTAATAAGCAGGCTGAAGGAACCGTTACGGCGGATTTTACTGGTATGGCAAAAGTAGTGAGCATTGCATAAAGGAACAAGAGTAAGAGTGGTCACATTATGCATGTATGTGTGGCTGCTAGTCGACCTTTCTCTCTGGATCAGTAACCACGACCAACGCCCCTTCTCTATTTTGTCCCTCTTTTTTTTTCTTGGACGACACACACACACACACACTCACACACACATACACACACACACACACACACACACACACACACACACACACACACACACACACACACACACACACACACACACACGCACACACACACACACACACACACACACACACACACACACACACACACACACACACACATTAACTTAAAGCTGTGTATGGTTTTAACACTAACTATCCTGTAAGACCCTATGGACCTTGTTATTCTGACAGTGTCACCTGTTTGTTCAAATACTGAAGGTGTAACTCACATGTTCGGGGCCACTGAAGGTGTAACTCACATGTTCGGGGCCACTGAAGGTGAAACTCATATGTTCGGGGCTACTGAAGGTAACTGAAGGAAACCATATGTTCAAATACTGAAGGTGTAACTTATATGTTCGAAGGTGTAACTCATATGACTGAAGGTGTAACTCACATGTTCATGAAGGTGAAACTCAAAAGCTGTCTTATGTTCGGGGCCACTGAAGGTGTAACTTTATGTTCAAATACTGAAGGTGTAACTCACATGTTCGGGGCCACTGAAGGTGAAACTCATATGTTGGGGCCACTGAAGGTGTAACTTATATGTTCGGGGCCACTGAAGGTGTAACTCATATGTTCAGCCACTGAAGGTGTAACTCACATGTTCGGGGCCACTGAAGGTGTCACTCGTGTTCGGGGCCACTGAAGGTGTCACTCGTGTTCGGGGACACTGAAGGTGTCACTCGTGTTCGGGGACACTGAAGGTATCACTCGTGTTCGGGGACACTGAAGGTGTCACTCGTGTTCGGGGCCACTGAAGGTGTCACTCGTGTTCGGGGCCACTGAAGGTGTCACTCGTGTTCGGGGACACTGAAGGTGTCACTCGTGTTCGGGGACACTGAAGGTGTCACTCGTGTTCGGGGCCACTGAGGCTGTCACTCACGACCATCGTGTCTGACCTCGTTGTTAGTATTCGGGGAACAGGTTTCTCACAACTAATCGTTAGGAACATTTTTTGCGTTAAACTTTTACTTTCCTTCCTCTTCATAACATATGATTTGCTCCGCTCTTTCCTGTATACTTGGGAAAGGTTCGTTATAGCTAGTTACTTTTTCCCTTGTCTGTTGATGTAGTGTACGTGGGCAAATATTTTTTATTTATTTATTTTTTTCTCCATACGCGGTTAAGTATTTTTATTATATACTTTTATGATCTCTCGTTGTTTTATTTTTTCATTATACACCTGAGGGATATATTTTAGTTAAACTTTGCATCTTTAAATATTTTACTGTGTGTTCTGTATTGATTCACCTTTACAATGAAATGTTTTCCTTACGGGTGTTGAAGCACCAGGCTGGGGAGGCACCAGTCACCAGCATGATGTGACCCCTGGCTGACAGCAGTTCAATAACACCATTACACGGCGTTGCTTAACACGTCTACCAGAACCTCCCTTAGTTGTCTTCAGGTTAGTTCACGAATTACGACCATTAGCTGCGAAACCAATTAGTGTTGGCCCGGGAGGGGTTGTAGTGGGAGCGGTCACCAACAAAATCATATGTCG